TTTTTTCTTTTTCTTTTTTCTTTTATTAAATTTGTCGGGGTGATATTGGCAAATAAGATTACATAGGTTTCAAGTGTAATGGTATTTTCCCTCCTCGTTAGAAGATGGTGAGTGGAGTCACCACATTCTCCTTTGTTTTTCTGCATTTTTGGCAGCTCCGGTGGCAGCCTTTCCCCTCCAGCTAAGAAACTGGAAGGAGCTGTTTCTAAAGCCTCACAAATCCTGCCCATTAGCGGTGGCTGTTCAGATAGCATTTCTTCTCCTTGGCCAGAAAGGAAACTTGAAAGTCCCAGGCCTAGACATTTATGTAACCCATTTTTATATTCAGGATTTATGTAGCCCTTGTGAAATGCTGGCGATACACGCAGAAGGAGAACTGCAGTGACTCTATGAGCCCAGTCAACACCAATGACGAAAGGGCGGAGGGATTTCATCATTTTCAGCGTGAAATCCAAGACCAAAGATAATCAAGTCTTTCAGTCCAGACAGTAACTAATTATTGCCTGGAGGTATAAGATCTCTTCCCATAATATAGGGAGAGATTAAAAAGGACCAAAAAAAAACCTCTTCAACTCAGAGGTAATACAATGACTCAAGTGTATTACCGAGTGTCATGCTGTCCTGTAAATTAGAACATGGAAAGCTCATAGTGAACTACAAAGGGTATGATTGAAAAAAAAAAAAAAAAAGCCAACACAAAATAAAAAAAATAATTTAAAAAAACAACAAAAACCCACAACATATGCCTTAGAGTGACTGAGGGCAGCTTGGCCTAGCTGAAAAGGCATGCTTGTGCTCTGAAGTCTGACAGCTCAATTTAATCTCTCCATGACCAGTTACTGATTAAAACCTTGCATGAATTCCTAACTGCTATACAATTCCGTTTTCTCATTTGGAAAGTGAGGATAATCATTGTTACCCTGCAAGGTTGTCGTAAGAATTAGAGGTAGTGGACAAGCTTACTTCTTATCGGTGTATGCATAACCTGAAAGCCTGCGGTCAGGAGCTGGTGCACAAGTCCTCACCGCATAAAAACAATCACAAAAGAACTAATCTCATAAAATTAATATCCATTTAAACATTTCTCCCAGCTTAACGCTAGCATCTTTCTCAGTTTGTTTTAAATTATTTGACAATCTTCAGTTGGTTATTTGGAGTTTATAATATCTCATGCAATTATAGTGCTCACTGATAATGAATTAATGCATATCTTGAGAAGGTACAGAATTTCATGAAACACATAAAAATGATGATGAAGAACTGGAGAGAGAGATGGCATAGACTAGAGCCACATTCCACCTATTCAAATACTAGATCTACCAATTACTAAATGCATAATCTTGAACAAGTACCCTAGCTTTTCTGTGTCTCAGTTTCCCCATCCATACAAGGGCAATGGTAACACTATTTACTGAAAGGATTTGTTAGGAGAAGTCAATAAAGGTAATATTTATAAAGTGCTTAGCACAATGCTTGGTAAATCATAATAAGAGTCAGTGTTTATTAAGTGAAAATTTCAAATAACAACAGAATATCTCCATAGCAAAGCCGTTTAAAATGAAGTCAAATGATTCAAAACTGAAGTAAACCCAGAAGGCTCATGACAGCATAGAAACAACAAATAATAATAATTTGAATATCAGAGAGGTTGAGAAGCATTTGTAAAAATGGATGAGGTGCCTGATTATTTTCATACACACAAAAAAATTACCATGTTTGTTACTGGGTAGCTAAAGTCGAGGATGAGTCTTTGGTAGATGGCTGGCTTTCCAGGTGGCACTCGGGGAGCCCCACCCCCTGGCATTCACAGCCTCATGTAATCCCCATCCCCCACATTGTACCTGGGTCTGTGCGACCAAGAGCAGAAGGGGTAGTATGTCACTTGAAGATCAAGTTACAGAAGACACGGCTGCTTCCATCTTAGTCATCCCCTTACCCATTCTCTCCATCTCTCTAATCACTCACTCTGGAGGAAGACAGTTGTCATGCCACAAAGAGCCATCTGGAGAGCCCAGGTGGTAGGGATCTGAGGCTTTTGTCCAAAAGCCTGAGAAGAACCAAGGACTCCTGCCAACATCCATATAAGCTTTAAATTGAGCCCTCCAACCCCATGAAGCCTTCAGATGAGAAACCTTCAGACGACTGCAGCGTTTTTGACAGTTTGTCTGCAGCTTCATGAGAGATCCTGGGCCAGAACCAGCTTACAAGGTTGTTCCCAGAAACCAGCCCCACAGAAACTGTGTGAGATAATAAATGTTAGTATTTTGAAGCTGCAAAGTTAGGGAGTTATTTGTTATGCCATACTAGATAATTAATGCAGGAATGAAGAAAGCGCCATGTGATATTTTGCCAATTTAATGAAAAAGTTGCACCTCCTATATAGATGTGATTTACGGTGGTTAGTCTAAAAATGATCAGATACTTGTAACCTTCACTTTTCAAGATAAGGGCCTTTTCAAATTTCAAAAACCTATTTAATAAATAATTTTGATTCCCCTTTAACACACAAAAACCTATGCAGTCTGTGTGAGTCTTACTTATCTTCTATTCTCCCCCTCTTTCTCTCCACTTCATCCACACTGACTTCTTTGATGTTTCTGGAACATGCCAGGCATACTTTCACCTTTGCACTGACTATTCCTGCTATTTTACTTTCTCTTCCCCAAATATCTGAATATCTCACTCTCACCTCCTTCAAGTCTTTGCTCAAATGTCTCTTCCTCAGGAAGGCCTATCCCAAACATCTCACTTAAAATTGCAACCCAAGCCCCTCTACATCCTGACTCTTCTTATGCTGTTTGATTGCCCTGTAACACTTTTACTAATATTTTTGTACACCTTTCCTCACTGAATGCCAGTTCCATGAGGATGGGAATTTTGTCTTTTTAGTCACTTATGCACTGATGAATCCGCATTACATAGAACAATACCCGGGGCTTAATAGATGTTCAATAAATATGCGTCGATATAAGCTTAGGAAGCAAACTTCATTCAAGTGGCTTTTTTACAGTACTGCTCCTCATGCTGGGGTAAAGATGACTGCCTATGTTTAATTTTTTTTTTTTTGGCTCAGTAGGCTGTCAGTAAACTGTAGTTGTGATCTGAATGCAAACCTCTGTTTTTTGTCTTTTAAGTATTAGCTCAAGTGACTTACAAGAAAGGGCTTAGTTGCAGAACTAGTGAGGCTGACATGAACACTGATTTGTGAACTTACTATCTAAATTAAATCTTTATCACCATACATTCCAAGAGCAATATATCTCATCATACATGCATGTGGGAAAGTTCCACATCTTTACTCTTGATACCCAAAACAGATGCACTTTATTTTGATTACCAATTTTGCATCAGAGAATAGCATGACTCATTGTACCTAGGTAAAAACTGAAGACATAACTCAGATGGTGGTTCTAAAAAGTTTAAGAGGGTCATGACATCAATTTTGAAGACTTCCTGAAGTCTTGTTTAGGAAAGGTTATAACAGAAAGGCCCAGTAGAGTTGTCTTCGTGCATGTGTGGCCTGTGCAGTCACACAGGACCCTGTATTTACAAAGACCCGTCACTTGGTTTAATGTCCTACTGTTCCTGTCTTGAAATTCTTAATAATATATGAATAAGGGGCTTCCATTTTCATTTTACACTGGGCATGCTAATTACGTAGCTGGTTCTGAGGCCCAGAGAAGATAATATTACTCAGTAATATTGAGTACTGAGTACTCACTTTCTAAGGGAATAAGCAGAGATGGAATAATCAAAAAAGAATACAGAATTTTTTCTGAGGCAGACACCCCAGCCCTCTCCTCGCTTTCCCCGTGTTTGGAGAACTGGAGAAACAGTAGCAGTGGTAGATGGTCTACTGCTTGCTACTCAAAGTGTGGCCTGTGCTACCAGCAGCCACAGCCGCAGCAGCCCCTGGGGACTTGTTAGAAAAACAGAATCAGGTGTCACTCCAGAACTACTGAATTAGAATTTGCATTTCCTGTGCACTTTAAATTAGAGAAACAGAGACGAGCTGTTCCAAGAGTCATCCAAAACAGGTGATAATGGACACTGGAAGTCACCCAGGCTCTTCGGAGGGGATTTCCCCCCTTCCACCAGAAAATCCTTAATCTGAGATGCTGCCAGATTGAGAAATTAACTGATTTGAATATTTCTTTTGTTCCTTCTGTGGTCCATAGGGTTGGATTAATATAAAGTGAAATGGTTCCAAAAAGCAAACACAAGGAAAAGAAAGCATGAAGAATGCGTTACTATGAGTTAGGCTGAGCAGGTGGAATGCAGAGTAACAATAAGGGGGGAAAGCTACCTTAAAAATAAAGAGCTAACACTGGGCACTTAAAAAGTGGCAGGCATCTTACAAAGTGTTTTACGTGGATTACTTTACTTAAATCTCATCATAAACTTAAGAAGTAAGTAGGTGCTATCTCTGTCTTTCTGTGCAAGTGGATAAAAGTTTTGAAATGACCATAATATAATCAATCAAGAAATTGTTCTTTAGTTCCATAACTAGATTTTTGTTACTCATTGATAAACGTCTACTGAATGGATGTGTGTGCACATTCACAAACATTATTTCAGAATTAGTTTCCGAATGTGAGGGGTCATCGCAGAAGGAACACCAGGAATAAGGCGAAGTTAAACTCAACGATGCCTAAAAATCTTTCAATTTGTGATAAAAAGGAGAAAAATAAAGGACTTCATTCTGGAAGTACAGGTCACCCAATAGTTTGTATTTGCATGTTACTGTGTAAAGAAGGACTCAGGCTTTTCTCTAATAGACGGGAGATGAAACCAGAAAGCAAGTGGTCAAATGCCTGGCGCTTCGCTCCCCCCGTCCCCCCCAGAAAAAACCAAACCGCGAATCTCAACAGTTTTCAGCAAAGCGGACTCCCAGGTACAGAGCAATGAGGACTAACAGAGCGTCAGTCAACAGGACCACACACCCCCTCGGCTGCTCCCGCCCCGCAAACGAGGAAGGGGGAGGAGCCGAGGAACCGAAAGGGAAAAGGCCGCGGGCCCCGGCGCGGGCATGGAGCTGCGGGCACTGTGGAGGCTCTGGCTGCTTTACTGCTGGTGTTGCTGCGGCGGTGGCCGCGGAGCCCGTCCCGCAGCCACCTTCACCCCGACTGGACCGCGGAGCCCCAAGCGACAGGCAGCCGCCTTCCGGGTACCGGGCACGCGTCCCCGTTTGTTTCCTTCTCGCTTTTTCCTGTCCCGAGTCTGGGCTGGGGCCGAGGGGTCACCCGCCGAGAGCTGCCTCTCCTGGCGGGCCCCCTGCCTGCACGCAGCTCCGGGACGCGTCTGGGGTTTCTGAGCTCGGTTTACACCAGCGAACTTCTCTCTCCGTTCCCCACGTGCCTGGGTCTTGCTCTCTCCCATGCTTTTGCTAAGCAAAAGATGTGATTTTTTCCGGTAAAGATTTGTCACTGTGGATGTATGCGATGCCCCCAAAGTAATGAATGGGTCTGTCCAAAGTGTTCTTGATTGGAAGAAGCACCCACTTTTTAGCAGAAGCCCCTGGCAGTTCTCACTGCTCCCAAAGCTGTCAGTTACAGGAACCAGAAAAAAGCGGAACAAACCTGTCATTTTTTTTTCCGGAGGGAGGCGCTAGTAACCTCTTTCTATAATCAGAATTTTCTAAATAAAGCAGAGCCTGCATTGAGCAAGCTCAGAGAATCCTGTCCATTTATGCTTTTCCTGAACTGGGGCTCCCTACACTCGTGCACCACCTTACAAGTTCACCTGCCTTGGTGAAGATTGATTGAGAGAAAGGGGAAGCATTTCATTTATTTCAGATTATTCTGAAAAGGCTTCATAATAATGTTTAGATTTTACCCCAGCATTAAAACTCTGCAACAGGCCAATTAGCTAAGTATCAATAAGGTTGATTAGTAGCGAGCTGTAAGACAAAATATTTATGAATGCCAAAAGGACATCTTTTTCCTAGTTTTATAGTCATAAAATAATATCCTCAAAGTTTTTGGGCCTGTATCCTCTTCCAGACAGGAACCTGGCATGTCTTATTGTATATAACTCATCCAATTAAACACATTCCGTTAAAACAAAAGAAAAGAAAAAATATGTAAAGATAATTATTTTTCACCGGATCTGTTTAAAGGCTGTTTTGATTTCTCAGCCCCCATTTTTCTAGTATGTGATACATCTGTTTTTCAAAGTCCTGCTTCTTTCAAAACTGTTTTCTGTGTATTCCTCTTTACATCTTTTCTTTCATCAATGAAGTTAAGATTCATTTTAATATTTCATACAGCTTTAGGGACATTTACTATACAGTGGACCACTGTTACATCCTCCATTGCCTTATGTTAAAAACATTTGCTAACTGACCCTTTACCTATGTGGATTCTATGACAGGTTGTTAATATGATGGGGAGTGGGGCTCAAAAAGACTCACAGTTTGTGATGCTTTTATGAAATCCGTTCTAACAGCAAGAATTGAAGTAGACCAGAAAAATCACTTGAAAGAATGTTTATTCCAGAAATGGAATGCAAGGCTTTTTAAAATTTAAATGATTTGAAACCACTGTTGGGTGGACTTGACATGTGTTCTGCTATTATAGCAAAGAGGAAGTATAGCAAATATTCTTGGATATGCTGATACTCTTATTTTACTATGAAAGCAATCTGTGGCACCTCTCTCTCTCTCTCTCTCTCTCTCTCTCTCTCTCTCTTTCTCTCTTTCTCCTTATCGCAGGATCAATGACTGAGAGCAAATGGGTAGAGGGTCAGGGAGAGCCATCTGACTGCAATGCAGCTTTGACCCTGAGTGAAGGAGAGAGGAAAGGAAGGTGGGGACAAGTGCCCTAGACTGCTGTGCAGTCCAAGGTAGGGTGGGAGAGGCCATTAGGGACTCATGAATCAAAAAATCAGCTTTCAAGGGCGTGCCATGTTTCCCCAGCATGGGCCAGTCTTACTGTTCAGTCATTGGCTAGGTGCAGCCTGTGGGAACTGTCACCTCCCTTGGTCTAATCCTGTTAATTCAGCATACAGAAGTTAAACTCCCTCAGCGGTTCTCAACCTTCCTAATGCCGCGACTCCTTAATGCAGTTCCTCATGTTGTGGTGACCCCCAACCATAAAATTATTTTCGTTGCTCCTCTATCACTGTCATTTTGCTACTGTTATGAATCGTAATGTAAATATCTTTTTGTTTTCCAATGGTCTTAGGCGACCCCTGTGAAAGGCTCGTTCGACCCCCAAAGGGGTCGCGACCCACAGGTTGAGAACCGCTGCATGGAGATCTGTGAGGCCCGATCTCATGGCTGCCACACACTCTGCATTCTCAGTGTCCTACAGTCTCAATGCCTTCCCTGTTACTTCAGCTCACAGAGATGGCCCATCAAGACCGACGCAATAAATGAATCCTCTGAATGACTTGGCAGGAGCCGAGTCTGGCTTATATTTGTTGCTTGCCGTATACATACCTGCTTTGTATTTCAGTGCTCTTCTTTGTATTTATACTTCTCCGCTGAAAATTATGTTCAGAATTCTGATTCATTAAGATTATTTTTTGTTTATTTTTTTAGCTGAGCCATCCTGCTGCCTTTGGCAGCTCAGCGGCAGCTCAGCTCGGTCTGGGAATCGAACTGCTGTTGCTCAGAGCTCGCACTCTTGCACGAGCTCTTAACCAACTGAGCCACTCGACCAGCCCTAAGATTATTTTTAAATGCCTAAAACTCAATAACTTTATTTCATTGATTGACAATCAATCCTTCCAGGCATATTCAAAAAGGAAAAAATAAGTATGATAAATCCCAGTGATAATTTGCTTAAAAATAAACAGCTTAAAGCTATTAAGGGCATGACATATATAAAATGTTTTTGTATTTTTTCAGCAACAGCTATTAATTAAGCATCTATTGTGTGCCAGGTATGTGCTAGGTGTGGGGAACACAGTGATAAAGGACAGACAGGCCTTCATTTTGCTTATGGTTTAAGAGGCAGACACACATTAAACAAATAAAGGCATAAATAAATATAGAAGAGCCAAAGCTGGAAACATACCAAATGGTAGCCCCTGAAGTTTTATTTGTCCCACGCAATTGTTAGTATTAGAAAATTGAGTCATGTTCACATAAAATACAGGCCTAAGATAAATTATCACAAAAGCTGAGGAATCTGTAAATAATGATTATATTTTCCCTCCAGATAGACTAACCAACCTGTTTTCCTGGACCACTTCCAGGGTTCTGTCTCTTTCACAAAGCCTTGTACCCTAAATGAGCTAGAGATTCTATAAAGCTCAAATAGAATCAGATTTGTTTATTCATTACTTACTCATTCCCTTTTCATACTTCATTACTTAATGCTGGGAAATACAAAGATAAAAAGGACACAGTTTCAAAATTCATAATTGTTCAATTGCGTGAGTATCTGTTGGTGACAATCTTCACTAATTTCAGTTTATTTTATTTTTGCCACTGTGTTAAACAGATATATATTTAGTGTTCTCAACATGCTTAGTGAAGAATTACAAATGGATAAAACATACCTTTCCCAGCCTCAAAAATATACCTGAAATCAGATAGTAGGTCTAATATAAAACTCTTATATATCTGATCTCATTATCTTATACAACCTTTCATTGTGATCTGCCGGAAATAAATCAAGCTTTGACTTTCACAACTGAAGAATATCTCCAAGTTAGTTATACACAAATTGCTTTGGAAAGTTAACGTAAGTAATATAAATTAGCTTTTTTTTTTTTTTTTTTTTTTTTTTTTTTTTAGGAAAGTCTTCATAGACATCAATACTTGAATTCTTTATTTCCTAGTGAAAATTCCACGGCCGTCTATGGAATAAATCAGTTTTCATATTTGTTTCCTGAAGAGTTTAAAGGTATGACATAATGGTGCTATTAGTTAATTGGCTTCCTCATTTCAACTTGTTTCCTTAATTTTTGAGGAATTGTTTAACTGTGAATCTAGAAACTTGAGTAATAGTTAGCATTTATTAAACACTGAGTATCAAGCATGTACCAGGTGCTGGCAGAAAAATAAATGCATGCCCACTCTTCTAATTATTGCTGAAGAATTAAATAGTATACATAGTATTTCCATGTGTCTGTAAGGGACAGCGCCTATTCCAGTTTTCCAGTGCTGTTTCTATTCACATCACCGTGGTTCCATGGGATACGATAAAATCAGTGACGCCAATTATACTCATTTTTGTTATTGACCTGGTTCTGTGAAACAAGTCGTCGTATGTGGCGGCTCCAACCCGATTGTATGAATTCTCATCTTTTCTAGCTTTCATTTGACTGCATTTCATGTTATGGAAAAGCACATAGAAAAATCACAAACGGCAGTCACTACTAGAAAGCTACTCTTTCTGTTTGAAAAGGTCTTCCAAAAAGCACCCCAAGAGGCGCCCCCCATCGTATAATATTGTTGTCTTTTCATTTCATGTTTCTATTCAGCTACTTATTTAAGAAGCAGAACTTCCAGATTGCCCAGATACTCAGCAGCAGTGCAGACGTCTATCTCCAATGTGTCCTTGCCACTAAGATTTGACTGGAGAGATAAACATGTCGTAACGCAAGTGAGAAACCAGCAGACAGTAAGTTTTCGGGTTGTTGTTTTTTTTTTCTTTTTTAATCACCTTAGCATGGGAAATCAGCTTTGAGATCAAGTTCAATCAAACTTGTAATGGAACCCATAATTTCTCTAGGTAACATCACACCCCACTCATTCAAAAAATGGCAATAAGAGAATCTCTGGTGGAATGAGAGGCAGCTGTCAAAGTCCGTCTTACATTCTGAGATAAACATTCCTTAGAGTGTTCTGTCCCTCTAATTACCATTGCCGCCAGCACACCGCTCAGGTGTGCTTCTCAGTAGCTGCGTCACAGTTACCAAACCTTCTGCAGATGGAAGGCTGGAGAAGGTAAACTTGACTACTAAATGCTTAAGTAGTTTAAAAGGGAAATGACACTGAAAAGGTAACATGATACCGGATACACGTATCGACAGTGTAACCTGGTCTCTTGGGTTCTCAGGCCTCATCCCTTTAGCTCCTACTCTGAACCCCCTACAGGATCACACACTTTCTTTTTTTTTTTTTTTTTAGTTTGAAGATCATTTTATTTATTTATTTTAAATTTATTTATTTTTTATTGTTAGTTTCAGGTGTACAGAGCATTGCAATAGTTATCCTTTTCACCCTTCGCACTTTCTACCTGTGACCCTTAGAAATGCAGTCAGTTCTGCTACATAGGCATTCCTAGAAATCACCATCTGTGCAAAAACAAAGAGATTATGGGAGAATGAGGTTAAGGCACAGCCCTTAAAAACTTAGTGACACATTTAAAAAAAAAGATAGAAAGTAATAAAAGCAGCAGCATAGCTTTGCACGCGTTAAATGACTAAGAAATATATAAGTACTGCAATAAATACAGCAACTTACTTGAAAAAGACCCGAAGTGTGCCTATGAAGTGGGCATTAAAAGGACTGCGGCTTGTGCATTATTGTGATGGGCAGAAGGTTCTCTGAAATCGGATGTGGATGGGTGTGCTCATAGCATGCAGTGAACCAGTGTAGCTGGTAGACGTTTGAGGGGGATAGGTACCTTCTTTGCTGACATTCCCTAGTCCTCTGCTTCCCCACCATTGGTGTGGGGAATGTCAGCTGACGAAGGAAAGTCCATCGCCTAACCACATGCGTATAGTCTCAATTTGCCTGCATAGAAACCTCAACAGGTCATTCAACTTCCCATTGTATGGCAAGTATTTTTTTTAATTTTCTTTTTTTCAGTAACAGCTGACATACAATATTATATTAGTCTCAGGTATGCAATACAGTGATTACACATTTATATAACTTATGAAGTGATCACCCCGATAAGTCTAGTATCCACCTAGCATAACAAGTATTTTGGACCCGACAGCTTCTCAGTCACCATTTAGGATGATCCTTTTTTTATTTCTCAGATTCTGTATTTATTGTTGTGAATTAGATTTGACCACCAAATCATTGGCTTTATTATTGGATTCATAATCAAGTGTGAAATAGTCTGAAATCCAATCCTTCCAGGCGTGTCCACATTATATTAAAGGGAACTTGTAATTAGGAATCTTTAATTAAAGGAGTATACTGGAGAGAGATTTTTGAGCAGGAACTACCCTCATGGGGAAGTCAAAGGTAGGCAAACTAAAGCTAACTATAGGTATGGTGTCGGCAACCTGTGTTCACATTTCTAAAGGGGTGGAGATTCTCTGGTAGAGCCCCTTAGTGAATATGCCATAGGCACTGGAGATCTAGACATAAATAAGGCCACTTAAAGCCATAAAGTTGCTCAAAACTTCACTCCATAAAGACAACCAATTGTGCTTCCTCCCTTTGCCCAACTCTGCAGCATATGGTCCTATGACTAAGTAAGTTCCACCCAGTTCCAAATCCTACACTCACCTCCGCCTTTTCCGTGCATCTGTCTTGCTTGTGAGCGATCCTTGATTTCCATTTGTTTCATCTCTTCCCTTCCTTTCAGGTTTAACCCTTTTATTCTTTTGTTCTGGTTTGTTCAATGAAAACAAGTTCATAGATCCAGACTCAGGAAGATTTCCAGACAGTATTTGAATGAGGAATGACTAATATGGGTTTCTATCATTAGGAGATTTCATGTGCATTCATAATATGCACGTGCTGGCAGCTTGGTGGCCTAAAAAGCAATTCATTCAGCCCCTGTGTCCGTCAAATAGTAAATACAAAATATGCAACATACATCCATGACCCACCCACCCTATCACTGCCTCTGCCCTTGGGGCAGAGATGGTGGGTGACACAGAAGCAAAGTGTCGGGGAAAAACAAGAGAGGTGGGAGAGTGGGGTGGGAGTTGGTACACTTCTTAGAAACTAAAGTCACCTGTTCAAGGTACTGACTAGTCTTTTAAAACCACGTCACTCTAGGTTTGTATCAGCCTCTGAAATTCGCTTTTATCTTGCATTGCCTAATTTACAATAGTGATACTACCAATTTACCTTTAATTATTTGATTTTGACACTTAAAAGAAAATTGTGGTTTTCTTTTTCCAATTTGGAGATCGAGAGGATGGGCGTTTATATTTTATAGGACCTCCAGATTTTGCTCACTTAGCTGATTTGATAACTTGTGACATTGAAAAATGTTGGTAAACTTGACTTGAACATTATTTGATAACCAGTACTATTTTGTTCCTGTTTCTAAACAGTGCGGAGGATGCTGGGCCTTCAGTGTAGTGGGTGCAGTGGAATCAGCTTATGCAATAAAAGGGAGCCCTTTGGAAGACCTAAGCGTACAGCAGGTCATTGATTGTTCGTATAATAATTACGGCTGCAATGGAGGATCTACCCTCAGTGCTTTGAACTGGCTAAATCAGGTGACTGGTTTCTCAGCCTTTTAAACTCTTTGCTTCCTCATTTGCTTATTTAATGTGTGTTCAGAATTCAAACAATTTACTCTCATTTACTGAATAATGCATTTAAGCTTAGAAATTTATATGACCAAAGCTTGAATTAATCAGAAGATTTTAAAATGAATTGCTTCTAGGCAAGTCAGTCATCAAGATCAAAGGGTGAATAATCTTACCCGAATTGTTTTCCACAAAAGATTCATGTCGATTTCTTAACATATTTTAATAGGCAAATGATGTTTTTATCTTTGTAGATACATGTCACATAGTGACCCAGAAAGATGAGAATATATTGTTATCCATTTCCATAGAATTTTTCAATATTAAAGTTAAAAGGGACATGAGAGGTCAGCTGATTTAGTAGGTTTTTTTTATAGATGAAGAAATGAGACCTAAGAGGTAAGATCATATTGTCAAATCGGTAACAGCCAGAATGGCACTTCAGGTACTCTGCCTCCCAGTGGAGGCTCACCCAGTACACCACAGCACCCTCACTGTTCTAAGGATACTCTCTGACCTTGTCCTAGATCCAGCATCAATTGTGGGAAACCAGCCAATGAGGGTGCTATTACCTTTTGTAAAAGGTTGTCAAGCTGGGGTTCCCCCAATTCAAATATCCTTCCCTTATTAATTTGCTGTATTTGAGTCACCAAATGCCAGAAGCTGATCTGTATTATGGGTAATTATGAATCCTGTGTCCTCCCCCTTTCTTATGCCCAACATTCAGAAAAGGAGTCTGTACAGGCAATTATAAAATATGTGACGTATGCCAGATGCACGGCACAGAAAGAAGTGGAAAGAACGCCTCATCTGACCATTGCCTGTGCATGAACCATTGTGCTGAGTGGGTCTCAAAGACTTCGTAATACAGAGCTAGACGCCCTGAAGGAAAGTGACCTCCCCTATTGTACTCTCAGGAGAAAGATGACAAGACTTTATTGTTAGATGATAGGGTTCTATGGAAAGAAGTTCCAGGAAAAACAAGAGTAAAAGAGACAGAAAAATATTGACTCTATCTAGGATGTTCATAACAAATACTTAAAGACTGAATGTAAGCTCTTAAAGTGACCCAACGAATAGCCACATGATAAAGGTGTGTCCCAGCTGAATTTTATTTTGACACATTGCAGCAAATTCGATTTGACTTTTAAAAACAACGGCGTGACAGAGAACACTTTGGGTGATTATTTTCTTTTAGACGCAAGTAAAACTGGTGAGAGATTCAGAGTACCCATTTAAAGCACAGAGTGGCCTGTGCCATTATTTTTCTGATACACAGTCTGGATTGTCAATCAAAGGTTTTTCTGCACATGACTTCAGGTAAATGTCTTATTGTACTGTGTTTTTCTCCCTATTTCTTAATTTATGATCTATTGACTATTCAGAATTAATAGCTTGATTGAGAGCATCACTACATATTTGTAATTGTTTTAAAACCTAGTTTTTACTAGAGAGACTAGTTGTCAGTCACCGTGGAGCACTATGGTTGTTGTTCCTTAAATATGATCTACTTATTTTTCCCTGTGTCATTATAATAGAAATAACAACCTTAAATTAACACATTTAAATCCAGTTAAAGCTATAATTTATATTTACCACCTTCCTCTTACCAAATTTAGGTGGCATAATTACCATTAGTGTATTTTAGTCTTCAGCCTTCCTGTTGAATCAACTGAAAGTTGCTTTGTATAGACGCTCTAGCTAATTATCAAGCAGTCTACTTACCAAAAAGCATTTTTGAACACCCTCTATGGTCCTTGCATTTTCAAGTCATCAACTATAAGAAAAACATAAACTGAAACTTTCACTGTAGAAACTAGTAGGAGTGTATTACTGGAGATAGACTATGGAGCACACACTATAAGCATGATGGGAGTGTCAGGACAGATACTGATAGGCTGAGGAAGAGAACTTGAGTTAGAACTTGAAGGGTAAGATGACTTTGGATAGGTTCAGAGGAAAACAATCATTAAAAAATGCTTTCAGATCACATTTGATATACTGCAGAATAGGTATTCAGGACTGGTAAGGACAGAGGAAGACTCAACCAAAATGTGGCTTGATTTAATATATATATATATATATATATATATATATATATATATATATATATATAGAGAGAGAGAGAGAGAGAGAGAGAGAGAGAGAGAG